TTCTGAATGTGCGATTTGGTGGCCAAAAGTGTTCGAGTTACTTCTTTCAGATGCGTGACCATTTTCGTCCACCTGTTGGCGCGGCCTAATATTAGCCACGGTACCTACGCCGCGCGGCCTAGGGAGACTGCAACGCCTGAAATCGAGGTTTTTGTTTCTAAGACACTCGAGCGAGCAGGCCCAAAACTGCGTTACATCACTTGTGTCCCTGATCAGTTCTGACTGAATGTTGCAGATATCCAGACAAACATGGCTTGGCCATGTCAATGCAAACTGTCTAGCCGTTTTTATCTTCAGTTTATATTCGCGGAATACTTGCTGTCTCTTTACAACCCAAATACAATTTCTGACAAAGGTGCTGAGTTCTATCGGTTTAAAAAGAGTCCACTGAACTCCTGTAAACGAAGAGCGCCGGCGGGTTATTTCATGCAGTCATTCAACGCATGATTTTGTCAGTTTATTGACTATAAAATGAAATCAGAATTTTTCGCGCGGTAGCGTCTGGCCTATATTGAAGTTATGGAAGGTAAAAATGTGTAATATATATATATATATATATATATATATCCCTTTACAGGAAAAAAGTGTCCTCATTAACAAGTGGGCCATATCCGGCGATTTTTTGGGAGGCCCTTTCACGACTAATGAGCCCGTTGCCAACCGTGTGCCCTCCTCTTGCCAAGGCTCTAAACGCGCCGCTGCTCTGTCTATCTGGCAAAACAACACCGAGCAGAACAAAAAGTATAACCCAATTCTGTACCACTAAATTACATCAGGGCCTTTTCCTTGACGACTACTTGGGACAATGACCATGGGCCACCACCAGACGCGGCACCACTCCCACAGCCCAGAAGACAGCAGCTCCTACTGCTGTGAGCTGAGGCACAGCGGCGATGGAATCTGTTGGCACCTGCTGGCCATGCATGCTAGGTAATTGGTCACAGTGGGTCTGTGGGATTTCTAGGCCTTCATTTCGGTGGGATTTCAGCCACTGCCGCGGAGTCCGAATGTTGTTTTCTGACTTATTTCACGTTACTTCATTTCCAGTTTGGCGAAGTAGGCCGTCGTGGTTTGCAAGGTCGGTGTAGTTCTCATTCTCGCTGAAGAAATCGCCAAAATGAACATCGAAGCTGGTTGTAGGATTTCACTACAATACGTCAGTTCTCCGTCAAGCCATGCTACCTTATACGTAATCCGAAATGTTTGGCGATCGCAATGTTGCGCTGGTAAATTTTCACAGCATTACCGTGAGGACAGCCTCGCAGTGCTAGGACCACTTCGCTTGTGCAAGGCCGTTTTTTGTCTCCCTTCCTTGTGCGGATTGTCGCTCCCGTGATGTTGGGAAAGCTGGTCACGCACCCGAGAGCGCACCCCCGGGGAGGCAGATCACCCCCAGCACTCTCGACTCCCTGTTTGCATGTGCCAGCCAGCTCACGCGCGCGACGAGCCGGACGACTGTCGGTCTCCTGGGCGCCTCCCGCAACCGTGTCGTGTGTCGTCTGCCGGTCTCTTGGGCGTCCCTGCACGTGTGTCGTCTGCCCTGGCACGTGCGCGCGTTCTGTCCACGTCCGTGTCGTGAGGCCATCAGAGGCAATGCATTCGGCCGGGTGAGTATATGTGTGTGGGGGAGGGAGGGGCAGGACTGAGCGGCCACAGCCCCCCCCCGCCGGTCCGTGTATTAATTCCGGTTGATCTCAGAACACCACTGGCGGTACCAAATGAGAGAAGTTTTCTCGCTAGGCTGCCAGGTCAGCGAAATACCTAACACAAACATCGTGCGCCACTACGGGTGCGCGACGGGGTAGCAGCCAAGATCCTATAATAACAGCGCGGCAGCTCGGTGGCAGCGCAGTAAAAAAGTTCTTGAGGTCAACTCGAAGGTCATAAGGCAGCGATGCTAAGCAAGGTGAAGGAATTACACTTCATCAAACTTCAAGCACTTTTGAGAGTGTGGCTCCGATCTGAGAGGGATTTTATGGCGATTGAATCCTCTATGGAATCTATGGACTTCCAGCTCACAATGTCATTTTCAGTTGAAATTGTCTCCCCTAGACTCCAGTCTCACCCCTCCAATTCTGATGTCTCCGCGATTTCGGCGTCGTGATTACGCCGATGCCCAAGAAAGCCAACAACTTTTCCGCAGTACGTTATCTTAAAGGGAATGTTCCACATATGAATATATTGAAACAAACAGGAGGCATAATGCATGAAGCTGGGTTATAACTATTGTTTTACTTTTAAGTGGAAAAGATGGCTCAAAGTAACACAGTTTCTCTGCGTAGTAAATATGATCTTTAATACGTCATTGTTTGATTACGTCATCGTACCTTGCACAATACTAAATGAGAGCCGATTGACAGACGCTTTATCTGGAAATCGTGCTCACGAACGCCAGATATGAACGATTCGATAATTATATTTTTCGTGGTCTTGATCGCCGTTTGGCTAATAGAATGCATGGATTTGAAGGGCGTTATTATTGCGTCATGGATGGCCGGATGATCTTGAAATTATATCCCCGAAATAGTCAGTGCAATTTCGCGGGCGCGTGTCTAAAAAACTAGAGGGGTTTAGGTCTTAAATGGAGTGCTTTCCATTTGAAGATATTGAAGCAAGCATGATATATGGTGAAAAACTAATTTATAACTATTGGTGAACTTTTTAAGGGGAAAAGACTGCTCTAGACAACACAATCTTCTGCTTAGTAAATATGTTCCTCAATGCGTCATGGTTTGATTGCGTTATAGTACCTTGCACAACATTGATTGAGAGCCAATTGACGGCCGTTATGTCTGGAAATCACACTCACGACCATAATTGCCGTATGGCTTATAAAAGGGCGGGATGTGAAGGACATAATGGCGTCATAAATGCCAAGGTGACTTTAAAATACTCCTCCCGATATTCCTCTGCCCATTTTCGCGGGCGTGTAGCTCAGAAACTAGAGTGTCTTAGGTCTTAAGAAGGGTAGAATTGTGAACAACAACCGAAAGGTCTTCAAGATGACCATTTCAATTAAAAAAACCCTTATGAATTTGGAACACCTGCTTTAATAAAGGCAGAGCTGTGAACTGCACCGAATGATCTTTAAAATGGCTGTCTCAGACTAAAACTCCACACAGATGTGGAACACTCCCTCAATACATGTTTCTCTATACCCATTATATTTTCAATTTGCGGCTCCCGACCCGTTCTTGTCCTATTTCGTGTTGCTTATGTGTCGACAGCATCTACTTCTTCATGCAAGCCACTTCCGTGCTTAATGCGTATTTATCATGGTTACCAATTTTGTCTTCACAGCAGTAGTTGCCTGGGCCGGATTCGGTTTGTCGTCCGGGCGTCCGACAGCGCTAATGTTCTCCCTACGTCATGTGACGTCACTGCAGTCACGTGGTTTGTGACGTCACACACCGGCTAACGCTGCTGCGGGGATTTTTTTGTCCACCGGTCAACATGGAGAGAAAGCGCTACCAGATTTCACAAATATCCTTTACAAAGAAGCACGAGTTTGATGTGGTGGCTCTTGCATTTGCGAGTACGTTGGGTGCAGTGGGGACACTTGTCTCTAGTATCGGGCGAATGCGACGCAGAAAGAATGCAATTGGACTGCTAGCAGTAACCATGAAAAGGTAAGCGACAACGATTGGTCTCGCGTGTGGTTGCGTTACCTAGTGAGCTATTTGCGTTCGATTAATCGTGAAGGAGGGAACAGGAACGACACGTTTCGCATCTCGAACATGGGCTTTATCAATACAAGTGGGAGTTAAATTAAAGGATGGGGTTCATGCCGGCTCCAGTAGCAGTGATGGATCGATAGACGTTTTCCACTCAAAGCTGAGTGGACAAAAATGGCAAGGGAAAAACTTAATGAGATGGGAATGGGAAGACGCACTTAACTTGCGGGTGGGATTGATAATCGTAGTACCGTACAGGAGCTACACCTCGATATACCACTTTGTAGCTAGCGCGTCATGGTCGGCGGTAAGCCAGAATTAGTGTGTGGTCTGGAGTAATTAAAAGATAAAGGAAAAAGGAAGGTCAAGCTAAAGACTTTCCCACGAGCCCACACATCGAACACTCCACCAGCACGCATGACGTCACACATTCCAGCTGAAAATCGATCGTGCTGACGACAGATCGAACGCGAAAACGTCTGTAAGATGAAAACACAGTAAGAAAACGTCTGTAAGATGAAAGCCTTGCAGTACATGTTTGTCGAAGGTGACGTTTTTATAACCACCGGTATAAATGCGTCGCCGACCCAAGGCCGGACCAGGACATCGAGCGAGCGGCGCCTTGTTTACCGCTGTGGCGGAACGCTCCATGTGACGCGGCGGCATGATTGGCCCTCAGCCCGGGCTGCGCTTATTACGCTGAGGCTGGCGGACGGTGGAGAGGGGTGGGGCTGGGGCTGGCGGCGACAGAAGTGGCACACTTGCTGAGGCTGGCGGCGGTTCAAGAGTTTTATTCTGGCTGCCGTTCAAACCAGGACCATTTGCGACCACTTCGCGCTTTTGTATGACGTGCAATTTGCCTATGAAATATTCAACCGCGCTGAACCATCAACTGAGCGTGAAATTCGTACACAGCTGCTTTGACAGACAACTTTCTGTGGGCGCAAGGATTCAGTGGTCCCAATCGAAACATACCGAGCGTCTTGCATTGGAAGCTGTTATGAAGGCAGGTCTATTTCCATGCTAATGACAACCAGCGCCCTTGGCCCGAGGAGTCGGACCACGGTAGCCCTTCGCAATCCGACGTCACATGCACCACTGTCAGCGCCGGGCGTGGAAGGCAGTTAAGATCCACTGTTACTAAACAGACCTATATCGCTCCTTACGCTCCTGTCCCTCCAAGCGGCGGAGTTTCAGGATCAGCTTCTTTTTCATGGGGCAGCATCTGGACGGGGGCTTGTTTTGATGCAGCCACTTCCAGGAGACGGTGTTCAGCCCAGACCAGCCTCTGAGCGCGACACATTCCTGATACCCCCGTCCTTTCAGGAGGTGGAGTTCAGCCTGGACCAGCCGCTGGACCGGGACGCACTCCTGACCCTTGAGGTGGTGGCCAGGAACCGCTATCTCCAGAACAGGAGTCTCGGCGGCTACGGCCTCGTGCTGCAGCGCCTGCTTGAGGACGGCTATGTCAAGGTCAACGACTACCTCGTGGACAGCAATAACAAGATTATTCAGGTACGGCTGGCCCGGGTTTAGGTCAGCGTGAAGAAAGCTGACAGTGGTGGAGGAACATCAGGATAATGCCCGTTGATTTGGGAGGCCGGCTTGCAATAGAAGCGTGCTCGCTCTGCACACTCGGCATGGAGGCCGGGCGTGAGCGGGACAGGACAGTAGACCTTCATTTCAAAGCGAAAGCTCTGTTCTGATGGCAAGATGTAATGTGCCAAACGAGGGGTTGACCCTCCCACGTTTGGTGCGTACTTCGTTTCCCACGCATTTCGACGTGCGCCACGTTTCTCAAAGTGTCGCCTTCTTCGTTCATCGTGTCAAATGTCTCTCCACAAGTTGTTCCGCGAACGGTACACGACTTCTGCTTGCTCATCAGGAAGTCTGTGATTTACACTGTCATGCCTGAAACTGCATAGCCCTAGCAAACTTCATTACTTTCCGCCTCGTTAAGCCACCCTGGGCCAGATTGCAACCTTGCACTCTGAAGTGTGGGAAGTTCATGTCTCCGACAAGTTTGCTCAGCACGTCGATTGTCTAAGTAACGAGTCCCTAACGAACTTCTTCATGTCTGTACAAACATTTGGGTGGCCCCGAAGGAATGCCAAGCTTGCAGTAGAGCTCACATATGGCATGACATTGGGTATCAAGAGGAAAGGCTTACCTTTTGCAGTCGGGGCGCGCCGGAGTAATTGGTCACTGTGAACCCATTGTTAGACATGCACACCGGCGATGTCACTCCATGTATTCCGTTTCAAAATTTTAAAGGTGCTTCTGATACATCAAAATGGATGGTAGAGCGTGATTTTGAGTCGTCAAGGCAGATTTGGCCATCAACGTGAGTTGCCTCAAGCTCTTGTCTGTAGATATGGGTAACATCGTAGCAGTTTAGTTACATCCGTCTGTTTTTTGTTTGTTATAAATTGACAAAAAAACATCAAATTTTTCCGAAGAGTTCGTTGCCTTGGGACGTCATGTGCTAAGATGGGTTTGAGGGGGAGGGGGGGGGGGGGGGAGCGGCTTAGCCAAGTCCTGCTCAGCCCCGGGCTTAGCAGGGCCTAGCCCTGCCCTCAGAAACTGTGGAAAGTGACCTAATGTGCCACAAAAGTCGTTCTTTTTCCCGAGTTTTTGTCGCTCATTTATGTCTGAACGCTTACTTTTTCAGCTGTTCTTTGCATTGGTATGCTTTGCTGCCAATCCCGTCGCTGACACTCCATTAAAGTGAGTGTTTCGCATTTATATGCGGTTTTAAACTGAAGTAACCATATTGAAGACCTCTTGATGCAGTTCACGGCCATGCCGTTTTTAAGACATAAAGCCCTCTGGTCCCGGAGCTTGAAGGCCGCAAAGATGTGGGAGGGTTATTTGGAAGAGTATTTGAAGGTCCCCCTGCCATTTATGACATCATAATGACGTTACCCAATTCGTGCCACCTTATAAACCATGTGGTTATCAAGGCCAATGACAATATAATGGTCAAGTCATCTGTATCTGGTGTTCGTGAGCACGATTTCCATATATAACGGCTGTCAACTGGTTCTCAATAAATGTTGTGCAATGTACGTGACGTAATCAAGCAATTACGTATCTGAGAACACATTTACTTATCAGAAAAGCTGTGTTGTCTAGAGCAGCCTTTTCTACGTAAAAGTATAACAATAGTTATACGTGAGCTTGTTCCATCATATCTGACGGCATTGCTCGCATCAATGAGCAGTGTGTGGTTGCTCGTACCAGTGAGCAGCGTGGTGTTTAGCGCTCCGGCCAACACCAGGACTCGAAGGCCCGTGCTCCAGCCAGTGCCAGGACTCGGAGGCCCGCGCTCCGGCCAGCGCCAGGACTCGGAGGCCCGCGCTCCGGCCAGCGCCAGGACTCGGAGGCCCGCGCTCCGGCCAGCGCCAGGACTCGAAGGCCCGTGCTCCAGCCAGTGCCAGGACTCGGAGGCCCGCGCTCCGGCCAGCGCCAGGACTCGGAGGCCCGCGCTCCGGCCAGCGCCAGGACTCGGAGGCCCGCGCTCCGGCCAGCGCCAGGACTCGAAGGCCTGTACTCCAGCCAGTGCCAGGACTCGGAGGCCCGCGCTCCGGCCAGCGCCAGGACTCGGAGGACCGCGCTCCGGCCAGCGCCAGGACTCGGAGGCCCGTGCTCCAGCCAGTGCCAGGACTCGGAGGCCCGCGCTCCGGCCAGCGCCAGGACTCGGAGGCCCGTGCTCCAGCCAGTGCCAGGACTCGGAGGCCCGTGCTCCGGCCAGCGCCAGGACTCGGAGGCCCGCCCTCCGGCCAGTGCCAGGACTCGGAGGCCCGCGCTCCGGCCAGCGCCAGGACTCGGAGGCCCGCGCTCCGGCCAGCGCCAGGACTCGGGGGCCCGCGTTCCTCCTGGTGATTTATGGGAGCTTGCGGGCGTGGCGTCTACATGGTCATTTGGCGCCAATGACCATGCGATATTTAATGTAGACCAGAATAGATGTCATTACAAGAAAGTAGCGCGAGAACGCGGGCTTCCACATCCCGACTGCATGATTCAACATGTCGGCCCCGCCGCCATGTATTGCTCATGAGGAAATGACCTTATGCACGTGTCCGGACGAAATGTCGTACCTGAAAGGCGGAAAGGACAGATGAAGGCAAACATGGTAATACGAGTAGCAGCTCTAGCCAGTAATGACGCCAACGCCATACAAGCTTCCGCACACGCCTGAGACCGGTACCTCCTTATCTCCGCACGTATTGTGTGGCGGTGGAAGATATCGCATGGCGCAATGAATTACGCAAACGCATGTGTGCCTATGAACGCGGAGCATCCCACGTCGCCGATACGTCGTTTACAAACATACAGCTCTGTATGAAATATTATGGCATTTTTCCTGTTATATTGCAAGTGCATTGGTTCAAATGTGTTACTATCGATGACTAAATACTGGGAGCTTTAGACCTCTGAGGATGAAATGAAGGAAGCTTTTTTAAGACATCAGGATATGCCCTTAAAGGGAGCGTTACACATTTGTATGGGGTTTTGAACCGACAGCCGTCTTGAAAATCGTTCGGTGCAGTTCACAGCCCTACCCTTCCTGAGACCTCGACCGCTCTAGTCGGGGCTACTCAGATATCCATGACGCCATAATAACGCCATTCAAATCCTGCTTTTCCATTAGCCGTGCAGCGATCAAGGCCAATAAAAATACAGTAGCCGAGTCGATGATAGCCGGCCGTCAACTGGCCCTCAATCAATGGTATGCAAGGCACGATGACGTAATAAATATATGTGTTTGGCTTGAATAGCCTAAGTCGCGAAAAAAATGCTGCTGCTAAGCATGCTGGCCGTCTTCAATATTCAATTAGGCAAGTGCGGGTGCTTCGATCTCCCTTTACGAGCACCCCTCATCTGCTAATTCCGCGACAGATGATGGGGTTCAACGTTGGGTGTTATCGCGACCGGGGCAGTATAACTCCCGTAGGCAGCGACGCACCCGGGGTTCGGCGTGCTTGCACGTGTAGCTTGTCCTAGTAGTGGAGAACGTCCGCCAGAGCGGACACTAGCCTTGAGGGCGACAACGCAACAGTACACCTTTACGGCCCTTTTGAGGGCAATTATTTCGTGGTTGGAAAGTGTCTATATCACCGAAGTTTGTTCTCCACTGTCTAGAAATCATACAGAGGCAAGTGTCCACCGATAACAGTCCGTTTAATTACCACGCGCGAAGGACACTGCTTAAGAGAACCTCAGATCATCAAAAGTTTACGAAATCATGATTGCTTCAGTGAGATATACGAATGCTTCTATATCATGGGAACGAACTCTCACTCAAGAAGACCCTTTAAAATATCACTGACCTCTGGGTGACGGTCAGTCGGACGCGCGGCCGATGCAACGAGCGGGCACCGCTCGAAGCAGCCCGCATTTGACGTTGGGAAGGCCCAGCCCGCGATACGAATGGAGCACCCAGTGTACTGTGGGACTCGGAGATGTGCAGTGCCCTGCTGTGGGACTCGGAGATGTGCAGTGCCCTGCACACAATCAGGCAGTCCCGGTGGCGCACATCATCCGCGACGTTACGCCAGCCGAGTGTCTCCAGAACGAGTGAAATGTGACCGGAGCGACGGACGCCACTCACTAGCCTGGCTGTGAAGTGCATCACCATTTGCACCCTGTCTAGGTGACCCTCGGCCGCTCACCCCACATGGAGAGGCAGAAGAGGATATGGGGCAAAACGCAAATTCGAACGGAGAGCCTCAGAGCCTCAGGAGTGAAGACATTCGTTTCGTCCGCATGGCGGCACAAGGTCCTCTGATCTCCCCCAGTGTGTCGCGCTCAAATACTTGGCAACACTAGTAACCCATTTTAGTCGCCTATTCGGGCTCGAGCCCGAGCTTCGGAATGATGGACGAGTCCTTACGGAAATGAGACAATATATGGTATTGTTCTCATATTTTTCAGCCTCAAATACTTGGCAACACTAGTACCCATTTTAGTCGCCTATTCGGGCTCGAGCCCGAGCTTCGGAATGATGAACGAGTCCTTACGGAAAATGAGACAAATATATGGTATTGTTCTCATATTTTTCAGCCACTGCAACAAAAAAAACAACAAGCAGTGACATAAATGTGCCGGGCATTGGACCATGCGTATCAGTATTTTTCACGTTATCGTGTGAGAACTAAACCTACCTGACCTGATTTCCTAACCTCTCGGGAGACCAGTTTTGCCACCGAGTCGGTCCGTTCGACAGGCTCGCATCCGTCTTGGAGGTGCTGGTTACCGGCCATCCGGGTGAGGCAGCTGACCTCTTGCCCTCGGTGACGGGCCACCCTGTGGGGTAGACGACAGCAGATGCTGGTGGATCATCGGAGCAGAACAATCGCCAACATGCGTAGCGGCTCTTCCTCTTGCGACCACGCTTCGTCGATTCAGCGGCTCGCCACCACGACGCTGGGCGGACCACCGCCTAGCCCGACGCCGGTGCCAGGAAGAGGTAGGTTGTTCGGCGTGCCCGAGGCCGCTCGCCGCCGACGCTG